TTGATTTTTTTTCAAAAATAACCGTTCATTTTGTCTTTTTTTTTACTGAGGGTTGTTTAAGTATCTACGGGTATTCACAATAAATGAAGTATTTTGTTTTACACTGTTTGGAAAAAATTAATTAATTCTAAGGTTTGTTCTTTTATTCCATTTATTCCAAAATATCAAATTATTAATGTTATTTAAAAATGTAGTAAGATGACTGCTATCGGATAGTCTCTACTACACAATTTAAAACTCGACTGTTGGCTAGCCAATAATATAATTAAATGATCCTCTCAACGTTTCTGTGATCTATTAACCTAAGCAAATTCGCCGAGTGCTAAATAAATGACGAGTCAGTAATCTGTAAACCGTTACAGAACAATAAAAACGTCTCGTTTACTTTATTTATGCTATATTTATTTTACTGCTAACTTGTAATAATGCATTAAATTTGTTGCAATAATAATAGGTACATGTATTGTTATATTACACAGCAGCCTTCACATGGTTCAGCCACTTTTGTTATTGATTATATAAAGACTAAACATTTTAATCTCACGCATTTCAGCTAATCGGTCCCCCATATGATTCTGACAATGTTAATGTAGTATAGTATTTAATAAAGAATAATAAATATACATTTATACTAAAATGCTCAATAGAGAATGAAATACATTTTGTAGAATAGTATAATTTTAATATAATAAATAATAAATGATACCTATTATATATCTACATCATTATCAATTATTATATAGAATTACTTAGATAAATTGATTTTATTAGCTAAGTTACAAGTACACACAAATAACGTGAACATTTTACCTGCATCTCCTCTCTATCACTGCATGTTTGTGTGTGTAGTTTAAACGTATTTTATTTTAAATGTTTTAATTTCATAATTAGGTAACGGATTTAAGAATCTATAAATTTATACCATTATGTATATACATATGTATTAGTATATTACACTAGCGATGACCTTGCATAGTGTCAATGACAGTGACCTTAAAACGATTCTATTATATACCTATACTCAAAGTTTGTGTTTAATTAGTGGAAACTCATTAACATAAAATAAATTTATTAAAAAGGTGGCTAATCGAAAATTATTTATATAAGTAATGATAATCGATTGTTTTGTAGATACCTAGTAGAAATAAAATTTTTTTAATAAATGGTGTTTGACATATGTTTTCAAATACCGTTTGCCAGAATTGATTGAAATATTAAACTATTATAAATGTAGAGTTTTTTTTATATAATTAGATAATGTTTTTAAGTAATCATTTTTCAATCTAACTCAAATTATTTGATTAGATTGGGTTACAATAATAATACATTTATATGTTAATTAAAATGCACTTCTGAAACAATTAATGGATATTATCTACCTATGTAAAGTACTCGTATATTATTTAGTTGATAAATTAAATAAAATTTAAAAATATCTTTTTTGATAAATTTATTATTTGAATTATTATTCATGTGAATAATAGCCATGCTGAAACTAGTTTTTATTAAAAAATAAAGTCACCAATTCAAGGTAAAATATACTTTATTTGCTTGGCACTAATTTCTCTCTACATACTTATATTACAAATTAGGCCTTGGATAACTTTTTGTAAAAATATTCAATAACTATATAGCTAGAGTAGAAATACGAGTACTAGAAAATACAATTTTTTCAATAATTATACTCGGAATATTGCTATAAGGATTATAACTATGATTTACTTGTTTTTATTATGTTTTATGTTAATATTGTTATTTGCATAAAATATGTTTGTTTTTAACAAAATCAGTAGTAATTTTATATTTTAAATTTAAATTTACCTCATGAGTGTATTTTTTGTTTTATGAAAAAAAATGTAGATTCATCTATTATTATACCTAAATAATTTTATAACAAAAAATTACATTAATATTAGTATTATATATAGTAATATAAATACCAGTTATAAATAACTAATAATATGTATAAATAATATATACGTACTTCATTGGATAACTATTATTTTTAATTTATATAATTATTAATTTTAATGATCTCCTGAAAAGATGAAAATAAGCTATATATGCATCATTATTAAAACAAAATAAATACGCTATTATATATTTTTATAATACCTACTATATAATTAAATTGTGAAAGAACTGTTAGTACTCTTTAGTCTATACACACGTGTTTTATTATATGCTCGTGTTGCATGCATTTTTAACTTTTTAAGCCCCGGAAAGAGTCTTAACTACGAAGGTAAATTATATTATACAGTATAATATACTATTATGCATTCCCTTGAAATTTGTTATGGCGGCTATGGAAAGATTATCATGTTACAATTTTATTTACATTCATACTTTTATAACCATTCATATCTTTACACTTTGTTCCTCCTTTGTTGGATTTTATTCTATATAGTCACGACTATCATATAAATTTACCTTCTAATAGTTGTATTATAACCTCCAGGGAACTAGTAGAAAGCAGGGGATTCTTATAATCTACTCAAGTTCCATTTATTTTCTAGATTATTTTAACTAAATATTATTATAACTGAATTTTATAAATTTTTTAAAACGTCTGATATTTTAATATTTATGTATACTTCTGAAGGAGCATAATTATTATACAAAATATAATTAACTATATTCTATGTATAGAATATAGTTAATATTAATATATTATTTATATTTCTTTTTATATTTCTTTTTACATTATTGGGATACAAGAGACGACAAGAAATTTTTATCGAGTCCAGATAATTATAAATGTAATAAATAATAATAATAAAATAAACAAGGTCTAGAAAATAAAAACTGTCATCGTTATCAAGTATTTCTATTATAAGTAGGACATAGGTACGAATAGAACGCGTATAATCATATATTATGTTATCGTATAACAAATAATATAATATTCATAAATTACTTATATATATATATATACTAGCTGTATATATGTTTAATATATAACCACATTACACTATAGGTACCAGAGTACGAATCTGTACGGCCGGCGGCCGTGTCGTGCACTAGAGGAAAATGTTTTTAAAATTGATTAAGAAAAATAGTGAATTTATAAAAGCGAATGCGAATTTAGTCCTTGACCAAATATATAACAATATTATATTATCATTATAATATACTATTTGAAATACATATTCATAGATGAAAATCGTGGGGGTACCAAAGCAACTTATTGCAAACTGAATTGTATGTTACCACAACTCCTTGAATGCTATAATATACATATATACCTATCATAATATAATAATGTTTTGACTCTTGAATGATTTATTTTCGATTTTCGAATAGTTTAATATAAGGTCTGCAAATATTTATATTTATGTTGTTATTATTATGCTGAGAAGTGAGAATAATTATTTTAGAACGAAAACACTAACTATTTCAAAAAGTATGGTTAATCTTGTAGGTAAATATCAACTTTTTCATACTTTTTTCTTTTGTAAAATGTAATACCTACATTTTATTACGTAATTCCTTTAATTAATATTTTCCTTATTTTTTCATTCTAATATTGTTTGCTAGTTAATCCATCCACAAACTTTGGAATTTTAATTTACGAATTATATTTTAGATTCTGACAAAGGTGAAGAGATTAAAATTAAAAATGTCTGGGATAATTTTTTAAAAGATAACGATTTCTCATTAAAAACAATTTTCTTATTTTGCTGTAATTAAAAAAAAAAAATATGATCGTATTTATTATATAATATTATGTTACTTCCCTATTATTCAATAATTTATAAATTCGCCTAAACGATCGGTTAATTTCTCGCCCAAATGATACAGCTTTACTCAGGTAAATTTTGGGTTATTCGCCCAAATGAATGACACCCTTGAACACGCCCTCGAATCTACGGTAATTCGGTATTGACCTTAAAGTTAATAACAACAATGATATAAGTATTGCCATATTTTTATAACAACTATATCATTATAATAGTATAATAAGTACAGTGTTTTTGTCAAAAACTAATTGAACTTATACCTACCGCATTACTAATGTAAAATAAATTGCTAAAGTAGCGATATATATGTAGGTATTATTAAATAGTAATAAATAGGCTGACAGATCGCCATCGCTCAAATTCGTTTTTGACCTACCTATGCGTTCAAATTTAACACATTCATTACAGTAATTTCCTCAATTACGGAATACACTCCACGTCAACTTTACTACAGAGCGGTTTCCTACTTTTCACCTTTTTTAATTTTATAACTGACACTCTGAAGCGGAATGTTTTCTAAAAATCTACAAAACAATAAATTAGGTATTTACCCATAACATTTAAATAGTAAAAAGTTTAAAGTTTTGACGAGCCTGTGCTCAGTAAATTTCGTAGTTTGTACTTAGGTAATAATACTATGTGTTCACCGTTTTACAGGCCTATAAAAAATGTAGGTTATAGTCCCGTATACACCTAGTAGGTATCTATATTACGTGTACAGTAAGACAGTAAGACGATACGGTTTAAAATATAAATAGTTATAATGTTTAGACTCTAGGGGATTAGGAACGACGTTTCGATCTTTTTTTCTTTTTGATATTTTGATCATTAAATTTCGTTCACTACAATAGACGCGATACAACGCACTCAGCGTCCCCGTCTCTCTCTCTCTCTCTTCATCTCGAAATAAGCTTTCCGACTTTTCGAGCTGGCCAAATAGCAGATTCATAGGGACGATAGTCATTCGTAAATCAAAAAAAAAAAGATGTCAAAAATCTTTTGCCCAGCGGACAGATGGCGTAGCGCAAAATGAACATGCACGTGCGGCTTTTGGCGCCGAAAGCCGTTATCACTGCGGTTCGCCCGCAGAGTAAATAACATTATCGTGCTGAGATAACAGCGCCGTCGGGTCGTTTCGGCTCGAAAAGAGGTTATGTCCGTCTGCCGACGACCGTGCACCTCGTTTGTCCGTACGGTTTGCAGCCGATAACCGACATACATCCATCTCGGTCAGTACGTGATTGTTATTACTATTATTTTTTACAGTTTCTCATCAATAATGGCAATGCCGATAACGCGCGAGCTCTCGACGTTAGCCTTTTCTCCGCCGCCGCCGCCAAAAGATAACACAGAGGACACGACGCCGACGTCATAAGTCCTAATCGCTGCCGAGACGTTATTTATCAATATACATCTCGCTGACCAGCGGATGCGAAGGAAAGCTACGCAACAACACGACTTGACGTTAAAGTACTGTTTACACGCGACGTCGACGACATTTTAACGTCGTAAACCACTGCAACCACCATCGAGTCTCGTGACCGGCGGCGGCGACGACGACAACGGTTGAACTTGACCGGTGGCCGCCGACGGTAAAAGTGAACGTTTTTCGGCGAACGACTACGACTGTGGTGGTGACGACGACGACGAAGGTGGTGGTGGCGGTAAAAGTAGGTCAGAGGATATTAGTACGAGTTCCGCGCGAGCCGGTGGTGGGCATTAATCACTCGTAGTCCGCCCGCGGTCGATGGTATACGTTGATCGCGCGCACACGCCGTCGTCGTACGTTTTCGTCCGTTCGCATTTTCCCATTTCGTTCACCGCTCTCCCGCCACTTGTCCGCCGGCCGGCCCGCGCTACCACGACCGAAATAAAATAATAATATTATAATATCGCGTGCGTGTCTTTTTCTTCCCCGTACGTTATATAACGTTTTGGTTAATGTTATAGTCGCACGGTTTTACGTCTTCGCCGCATTCGATTGTTGTCGTGCCTGCCTGCCTGCCAATAATTGTCGTCGCGGTCGTTTCTCCGCAGACCGGCTCAGCTCAGACGCGCACACGCTCGCGGCAAGAACGGTCGCCGACAACCACCTGTTGTTGTACAGTACTCAGTCGTGCGCCGAGTCGCATATACGTCGCTCCTGCCACAGCGGTTTGACGTCGTTCCAGCGGTCTTCGGCCGATGTTTTCTAAGAAAAGTGGACACTACGATCTCGTCGAACAGTCCAAAATGAGTGAGTGTACAACGCGGTATTGTCCGTCGGCCGGCTTACGCGTCTCGGCGTGAACAACTCGGTTGCAGTTTTAATTTTCTTCCCTCCCTCGTCCCTTACGTCCTGATCTCCGCCCTAAAATCATTTCCCGACTTGCTTGATTACCTACCCTTACCTAACCTGTTCAATAATAAATCATTCATAACAACTATAAATTCTTCCTACGAGCGCTGTACAATTTTTTGTATGATATATTATGATTTGATGCTTTGGTAATATTGCACTGTTGTTGGAGCTTTTGTTAAAATTCTAGTATTGATTTCATATTATGCCTAATGAGATTTATTTAAATTTACAATTCAGTTATTTAACAATTTATGTTTAAATTATCAATCGAAATAATTGTGTTAAAGTTCTTTTACAAGTTTCAAAATCCCAAATTTTCCCTCTAATATTTTTAATAGTGATTAAAGGTACTTAATTATACTACTTAATTGTTGGTTGTGGAATAACGCCTTAAGGCATTATTTATTTTTTTGATTTCAATTAGTTTTAATTTGACCAGCACCGGGATATGGGTAACAAAATTGAGCCAAAGCGAATGTATAATTATTGTATATTTTTATTGACTTTTTATTTATTTATTTTTTTTTAACTAATTGAATGGAATATTATGTTTTATTTATTTATTATAAAATCGAAGGAGTAATGCTATTTTTAGTAGAAAAGCACAAATAAATTATATGAAAAAAAAAAATTGATATAAAGTACATATTTTTTAGTGCATACCTATTTAAATTAAATAAAAAGTAAATATCATAAAATAATAATTTTAACTTTAATTGTTTTCTTATTAAATAATTGTTATTATTTTTAAATTTCCAATTATAATCTAGTAGTTTAATTGGTTTAAATGTTATCTCAAGAGTTTAAATCATGAAAATTTATTATGTCACTGTAAAAGTAATATATTAAGTACTTATATAAATCAACAAGCTCTAAACGTTTAGTTTGACATAGTATGATAATCATGACATTTACGACAGCAAATTACTATAAATGTTATCTATTCGTTGTATGAAATTATTCTTTTTCTTTTAAATATTTCAGTCATTTATTATGTTAAAAAAAATTATAAATATCTACCTAGTTTAATTTTTGTTCATATTTGTCAATTTATAATTTTGTCATCAGGTACCTAGTGATAAGAAATAAATAGATTGTTTGAATTACATTTAATTGGAAAATTAAGTGTCTCAACTCATAAAGGTAATGTTATTGATTCATTTTAATAACAATTTTATGATCAATTTCTAAGTATCAGTATGTAATTGAAAGCTTTTAATTGATAATATTATTATTTCAATTCATACCTATTAACTTTTCAAATTAATGTATTATAAAAAATATTTTATACGTTTTATTTATTAATACAAAAAAAATAATAAATTATAAAACACTATATTGTTGATGGAAGGTAAATGTACTTTTACCTACAAAAAAATTAATTATTTCTTTTCATCATTGAATAATATAAAATATTGCATTAGCTATATTAAATTTATAAAGAATATTTATCAATGTAGGTAATATTTTTTAAAATTATTTACCAAATTGTTTCAATCTTACTAAAAATTATTTGTTAAAAATTTTATTTCATTTGTTGATTGTCGTTGAATTGTTTTTTGAATACACAAAGTATTTTTACATTTTTATCAATTTTATTTTTATAATTTGTTTATAAGTACTAAACTATATAAAAATGTACCTAAAAGCACTGAATAAAATTTATTTTAACTTATAAATGCAAGTAGTCAACATAATACAAAATCAGACAACCTTCAAAATGCATGATTGCATGAGTATATTATTTTGTTTTGGATGCACCGTCTTCATTTAAAATTATAAAAACGTATAGTTATAGTTTTATAATACTTATTTTTATTTCAATTTTTTCAATTATCTATAGAAATAATATACATACATCTATATATATATATTTAATTGTTTGCATGTATATAATTTTATTGATTGGTGGTTTTCATTTTGTAATTATTATCATAGTGTTATTAGGTAGTTACATTGTAATAATATTCATTATTATAATCTATTTGAATGCTATACAGTATATCTACACACTCGTTAGAAATTTAAATGTTATTTTGTAGATATTGGAAAATAAAATAAGATTACATTTTTAATAACCTTTAGCTTATGGTATTACTCACTTTTTATTAATATACTGCTTATGCTACTACAAATTTTTTGAATCTTAAGAATCAATTATTTTATTAATACAATATTACATGATACATTTTATATTGTATTAATTATAGTTATTTAAAGAGTTCCTCAAAAGTTCTTGTATAGTTGTGTAGGATTCTATATTAGAATCACTTTATTCAAATATCACACATCAATAGTTGTCACTTACTCGTTTTTAAGGGGTTTTGTGTAGGCAATTTAAAGTACCTTATTTGTTATAAAATTTAAATTGTTTCAGTGCAAAAGTTCTCCTTTATATTTTTTGATGAAAATTTGGGTTTTACTTAGAACAGTATTTTTCTGAATTATTTTGCATGCTGAACTGTTTGTTTTTATCATTAATTTATAGATACGAGGTGTCTTTTAAAGGTTCATATTAAAACATTCAATTTTTTTGATAATGGTTGGTAATATAATAGATAGGTACATCAATATTTTCTTCTCTTTATTATCTGTTGTATTGTAATTTGGAGCTCATTAATCAATATGCGTTATCTTTATAATGTATATCTTTGGTTATTTAAATTTATTTTTCTCTGATTAAAGTTAAATATGGCTCTTGTTAGTACCTACTTAACTATTATTAACATTATGATACAAATTACATATACATAATATAATATTTACTTAAACTTTATAATTATAATAATAACTATTAGTACAGTTTAGTTATTTTTATCTAAAAAAGTAATGACAAGTAGAGATTTAAAAAATATTTGTGTTTCATTAATTTTGTATCTGTTATCATTCAATACTTATGTTGATTATATAAATATTAAATAAATAATCCCACATTTTTGTATAAAATTAATTTTTTTAGAAATTTGGAATATTTAATTTAGTTAAACCATATAGACACGAAAAAAATATTTGTTTTGTATTAGAGTTATAAATTTATATATAATGTATGTTACCTTGATTACATGCTGTTCTTCATTATTAATTTTTAAATGTTTGTTTTGTTGAAATTATTTACCATTTTGATATGAAAAATAAAATTTACTATTTTTTATTATATATCTAGTTTAGTAGAACATTTTTAACAACATACTACATATTATTATGTATTCTCTTTTAAATAAAAATCTTAATTTTAATCAACTAATATTGTTACTCAAACCAACACAATATTAATAACTGTTGAGAATTGTTAAATTGTTTGTAATCTATGTGTTGATGTGTTAAAAATATTAATAAATATGGATGAGTAATACATTTAAGGTTAGAAAAGTATTAAAATATACATTTGTATAAATATATTAAAAACTTATTAATAATTAAAATTGAAATAGTAATACTGCTACAAAATATTAATATTAACAAATTTGTAGCTTTTGCTCGTTGATTAATTACTATATTAATATATAATTAATTTTTTTGTGTGTTTATTACAGTAATAAACATTATAATAACAATTATATTTATTAAAATAACACATTTTTTTTTAACAGTTATCATTAATTTTAGAATTTGAAAGTAAATTATTTAGTTTGTGCCTTTTTTTTAATAAGTATAATTTTGAATTTTTTTCCCCCATCAGGCAATTTAGAAGAAGCTCTTCGTCTGATAAGGACATCCTTAAACTCTCCTCAAATGGATGTTGAAGGGGCCCATTATGATCAGAACATCACTCATCTGATTGTTGTGATGGGTGCTTCGGTAAATTATTTATCTAGATTTATATGGATTTTCTAACTATTATAATATCAATCTCAAATTAATTTTTAAGGGTGATTTAGCAAAAAAGAAGATTTACCCAACTCTTTGGATGTTGTTCCGCGATAAGTTGATTCCAGATGAGACATTCATCTATGGATACTCTAGATCAAAATTAACCATGGAACAATTGATAAGCAACGTTTCACCATATTTAAAAGTAGGATAAAATAACATTCCTTCTTATTGCTGTTTATAAAATAACTTATTTAAGATTTGATTGATTTATTTGAATTTTTTTGTTTTGTAGTGTAACGAAAATGAAAAAGAACGGCTCGCTGAGTTTTGGTCTTATAATTTCTACATTGCTGGGTCGTATGACAGTTCTGCAGACTACCGCTCTCTGAATGTGAAACTTTCCAAACATGAGATTGCTGGAATCTCTAATAGATTGTTTTATTTGGCTATACCTCCCTCATTATTTGAAGTGACTACCTCTCATATCCATGAAACATGCATGGATCACAAGTATGTGAATCGATCAATTTTTCTAGAACCCTACTATAATTGAACATAATTTATATGATTTAATTTCAGAGGATGGACTCGTGTTATCATTGAAAAGCCTTTTGGTCGCGATGCTGCTAGTTCATTGAAACTTAGTGACCATTTGGCCAAGTTGTTTAGTGAAGATCAAGTGTACCGTATTGATCATTATTTGGGAAAAGAGATGGTTCAAAATCTCATGACACTTAGGTAAAGCAAATGCCAAGAAAACATTTATAATATTTGTTCAATGTACGTGTATAGTTAATTTTATGAATTTCTCAGGTTTGGAAATAGAATATTAAACACTGGATGGAACAGAGACAACATTGCACAGGTACAAATCACTTTCAAAGAACCATTCGGTACTGAAGGTCGTGGTGGATATTTTGACAGTTTTGGTATAATCCGTGACGTTATGCAAAATCATTTACTCCAAATTCTCAGCTTGGTAGCTATGGAGAAGCCAGCTACCATACATCCTGACGATGTTCGAAATGAAAAAGTTAGATATCTTAAAATTATGGTAGTTATACATTATTTGTCTTATAATATGTATTATATATTAGGTCAAAGTTCTTAAATGTATTCCAAAAGTGCAAATGTCTGATGTGGTTTTGGGACAATATGTTGGTAATTCGGAAGCTGAAGAAGAACATAAGAAATTTGGGTACTCTGATGATAAGACTGTACCAAGTGGATCAAAAACAGCCACGTTTGCATCAGCTGTGTTAAAAATCAACAACGAACGTTGGGATGGTGTACCTTTTATACTGAAATGTGGAAAAGGTATATGTTTTTCAAATTAGTTTCTTAATTGCTTCTTATTTTATAGTTCTTGAATGTTTTGACTAGTTTGTATTATTGTTGAATTATTCTGTCGCCTATTTAATAGTTTTCAAGGAAACCTGATGTTATTCGGGCAACATTATATTTCATTGGTTCATCTTTGGAGAGTTGATTGAATGTGACATGTTCTATTGATCTGGATTGTTTACCACCTGATGTCTTCAATATATTTGTAATTTTTGTACTGTTTTTATATAGCGTTGAACGAACGCAAGGCTGAAATCCGAATTCAATATCATGATGTGCCTGGTGACATTTTTGGAGGAGTCCTGAAGAGAAACGAACTTGTCATTCGCGTCCAACCAGATGAAGCTGTGTACATTAAGATGATGACCAAACGTCCCGGTATCGGATTTGAAATGGAAGAAACTGAATTGGACTTAACCTATAATAATCGTTATAAGGCAAGTTAATTATTATTCTTCCAATAAATGTTTATTATGTTATTTAATGCTTATTTTATTTATTAGAATGTCAAGTTACCAGATGCTTATGAACGATTAATATTAGATGTGTTTTGTGGTTCTCAAATGCACTTTGTGCGTGCTGATGAGCTTTCTGAAGCTTGGCGAATATTTACTCCACTTCTCCATGAAATTGAATCGACTCAACCTGAACCAACACCTTACGAGTATGTTGAATATCTATTTCAACTATAATCTGTAGAGTTTAGTTTAATATGAGATTTTTATTTATTAAATAGGTATGGTACTCGTGGACCTACTAAAGCTGATGATCTTTCTCTTGCAAACAACTTCAAGTATTATGGATCTTACAAATGGGTGAAACCTCATTCTTAGTTCATTTTTAAATATTGTTTTACATTTGGAACAATATAATTTATATTATACATTTAATTGCCGAACATAATATGTACTTATATAATTGCCTATAAAAATAATTTATTTAAAGATCTGCCATTTAAATTATTTTAAAACATTCCAGTTACTCACTTGAAATAACCCTTTCTAAATTAGCATTTGAATTTCCTTTTTTTTTTTTTACCACTTTTCCATTTTTGTATTGGTTTTTTTTTGTGTTATCATTTGTTTTGTTTTTGTTTGTTCATCAAAAAATAACTTATAATTTAATTTTAATTCTACTTGATTATTTTAATCAATCATAGTTGAGTAAACTTTATCGTTTTTATGTTATAATTTTAAATTTTAGCAATAATATGATTTAAATTAACAAAAATGCTCATTTTAAATTACTGACCTCAGGAGTATTGTTCAACAATATATTATCTTGAAACTCTTATAACATCTAATCAGTATTATTTGTATTTACAAATACAAGTATAATTTATGGGCTTCTTAGGATTAATATTTCAATACAATTGTATTGTATATTTTTCAATCCTTTTTTCTAAAATATCCCTTATTGTTACAATCGAAATAATATTGTTTTTTAGGTTTATTGCAATCACAGGGTAAATATCCATTATTAAAGTAATACAGTTTTGATTAGATATAATAATGTAATTATAATAAATTGAATGTTTACAGTTGAATATTATCTATATTTAAAATTAAAATAATAAAATTGTCTTGATTTTCTTATTAATGGCTGGTGTATGTTAATAATTTAAAATAATAAAAAAAAAAGCCATTGGAATTATAGTGTAAATGATTTCTAATATTTAAGTACCTACAATTATCTTTGTGTATGTCTTGCATCTCAATCGTATTCGCCACCCACAGTTATGCTGATATCCTGACCGATGGTTTGCGTTTCATGGTACCAAATATTTGTATCCAATACAACTATAAGAATATTGAACAATCATAATAATATTGCATACAATATTTATAAATCAATTTTAAAACATTATCATGAATATGAATGTAAAAAGCTAATCTAGATCTAAAATATTTTAAATTTTTAGTTTTTATATCTAATGATGATAATAAATAATATTAGATAAAGGAATTGCGGCACATGTATTTTTTTATACATATTAGACCAATAAGCGCTGGTGAATTACACATACTTACTTTGCAACATTCAATTTTAATTTTTAACTTGTAAATTCTTTGTCAAGATATTTAGTCTATTTATGAAGTCGATTTAAATATTAAGATATTATTTTAAAAACTATGTGAAACAATTGCATTACATTTGTACTTCAATATAGCAAAATCAGATTTTAAATATATAAAATTATTCTTAAATAGCGCACCTACTTTGTTTAGAAACATGAATTTAACTATTTTATTTTTAACTGTTGGAATCTGAATACATATTTAATTTACTACCGCTTTTAATCGTTTTTATACTTGTGCAAACAAAAATGTATTTCGTTTTCCTCGACTTATTGCGTGTGCGTGTACGAAAGTCGTATTCTACAAAGAACGTTTAAGGATTACACACGCTAATGTTCTCATTTTCTACTCAGTAGACAGTACTCTTCCCCATTAACACACTTAAAAATAAATATACGCGTTACATGTATTGCCTAGGTATCACTTTTTTCCTTAAAATATGATGGAACTTCAGCCCCCTGACATGTTTAGACATGTTTTATTTGTCAAATCGATGATCCATTTAATTTACACAGTATGATACGGCGAAGTGTATTTATTCAAATGCTGTGCAGGAACATTAGCTAGGTACAATCGGAAAAACAAAACGAGCCATACGTGCAGTGCTAGCAATTAACCTATAGTCATGACTGCTAATAATTATTGACTTGCGATTAGCTTAATTATTTAGCTATTTCCATGTCAATTCTTATCAATCCTATCCAGTAGTGAGTAGGTACCCGTGTTTCGATGAAGGCTAGGTATATAGCTAATGCCATTAATTTATTTTCAACGACTGAATTCCGACAACATGACATGTAATGATCATAATATCTTACAAGTACTATTATACTATCACTGTGCTCCGTGTAGTAGTTTTCAGAATTTTCTTATTCATCAACTTGTGTACCTAATAATATTGTTTAGGTTAAACAATTTCGCTGTTCATCAACAACTATCAAACCAAACGGTAAAGTATATGAATATTTACGACTATAGGTACCTACTATAATCTATAGTAACGCATGTTAACCAGAAAGTTTATTATTTGGTGATTGAGTAATATAGTGTATTAGTGTGTTAGGTACTCTACAATAATTAGTATATCGTGTTATTTGCCATATTATTATGATGTTTTCGTTCAAAATCTCTCATAATTACGATAAATTATGTTGGTGTTTACCTATGCTACCGGAAGTTGGAAAGTGCATAGGTACAAATATAAAAGTGCGTTTGTATTTCTTAAATATCAACAATAGTTATTATCGGTCTTGGTTATAAATTTGAGAAAATTAATTTCCTCGGTCTAGTACCTTATACAGTTATACTTGATTCAATGTTCATTTCTGATTGTGCGGTGATCAGTCAATACGACAATAAATATTAGGCGTTTCGTATTAAGTATATTATATAAGCGTATGATAGTAAAAATATATTTTTTTATAATATAACATGGAGTCAACAGAAACATAATTTATTTAATAGTTAATGTTAAGGAAGTAGCAGCTACTTGTTAAAATCTTTAACATTCAAAGTATAAAACAATTGAAATATTTTGTTTTTTTAAAGTAATTACCTATTTTAGTGCTTTTTTAATTGGTTTTTAAGTAAATGAAAACATAAAAATGTTTAACTATTATGTATACCTATTACCTACTGCTACCTACGGTAGATATTTACTTTAAGTAAATGTCAACTAAATTGAGTTATGTATTTATGTATTATAAGTATAAAAATAATGTTCTATAATATTATAATTTATTCAAGTTTAGATATTTAGTATTTTAACTACCTACTCTGTATTTGTTGGTTGTCATAAAGAATGCTATAGGTATGTGAATTGAATATAGATACTAAAATACCATGAAATAAGCGTTGAAAATTATGCGAAATAAATACATAATCATTTTTATAGCTTAGGAAGTAAAATTTTTTAAATTTAATGTATATCTATCTACTTATTTAATATTTACAAACAAATGTAGTAATATATTTTATATTGTATCGTAACTATATATTATGAAAAAATAAATTTTTTTGTTCAAATACCATATAAGTTTTTGGTATAATACAATTAATTTGTTATTCCTATTTCAAACATAAATTTTAAAGTTAATAGCATGAAATTGAGCGATTAAATAAAATGTCTTAATTACACAATATAAAATTATATGTTTAGAAGTTTAGATTGTAAAACGATAACCCTTATCTTTAATCAAATTTATAAAACAAAAGTTTTGGATTCTGAATATCTGAATGCAAAGTCATTAAATCTATAGCCATGCTTATGAATACCTAATAATAATAATAATCATAATAAAAAATGTTACGAACAACAGAAAGTTGTTGAGTTTGACAATTCTCAAAAACATTATTATTCAATCAAGCCAAAGTTTACAAAATGATCGAACAAGAAACGTGGATGTTTTTATTTTTTTAATGAACTAATACGCCATAGATGAGCCCATAACCGAGACAAATACTAAAGTAAATAGCTGCCTATTTATGTATATTGAATAATATAAGCTGTCCTGAATTTCGTACTTACTGCTCAGAATCTCAGATACAATACGAGTAAGTTTATTTTTCTAGTTACCTACATATACTATAGGTATGATAACTGATGAGCATTGCGACCCGTTCGAATAAAACCGCATCTTGTAATGCTCTATAAAACTTCGAATTGTCCTGTTATAAACTCATATTCAAGTAGCCAAATATGTCTATCCGACTATCTACCTAAATATAGGCATCTATCGTATCGTTGAACCGCCTCACATAGTCGTACATGATTTCTAAGCCTCAACGGGGTTAGATTAGTAGTGTTGCAAAATCATTTATAATAATAGACAATAGTAAGTATATGATTGTGAGGTATAACCCAAGTGTTAATTAACAAGGTAAATCAATAAGGAAACTTCTTTTTAACTAGGTTAAGAAAATATTATTTTTCATATTAACTCTAAACTCGATTGAAGTTAAATACGTTGATATTTAACTACAATAATATTACCATACATACATTCATAGCTTAACAACTTTAATGATGTTATCTTAACTAACTCAAGTTAAATTTTACCATTGACTTCATACCATATAGCTAGTTGCAAAGTTATTTATTTTTATAAAGTCCTCACAACTTCATATTTTATATGAATTATTTAATAATAGCCATGAAAAATTCTATCATATACTAATACATTATAATATTATTTATAATATGCCCCACTAATGTATATTTATTCCCATCAAATTTTTATATAGTTTTAAAAGTTTGGTGTGAAACTGTTCGTATAAAATATGTGTATATATAATATATTACATTTCATATATTATATGAATCGATTTTTATTGGTAAGTGCTATAATGAGCTCACTTCACCCAAAATGTTCGTCCAAGCTATACCTACCCATTACCCATAATAATAAATCAGCCATCAGTTGTACTTTCTGCACACCGATAATTATAATGAATAAAAATATTAATTTTAGATAAAAAATACACGCGTAGTAAGCACTCACTTGTCGAACCAGGTTCCATGAACACTTCGAACATTCGTTTGCATTTGAAAAAACATTCGGCCGGCGTACGTAACGTCCATTTTTTATATCCGCTGATTTGCGTCTGCCACGACGGAAATGCTACTTTGTCGATCTGTGAGTTGAAAATCCATTCCATTTTCACCGCAATTGTGTTTTCCAATTTATGAAAAAAATAAAAATCGTTAATTTTTTTTTATTTTGTAAAGATTTTGAATGGAACAACAAATGTAATGGTTTTACAATGACGTGTTTTTTTTTTGTCGCAAAATACAAAAATCAAACTAGAAAAAAATTGAAATTTTTATGTAAAATAAATGATTAATTATTGTTCCACGTTCCACGAACGTACAATTTATAAGTATATTAAATTGTTACTTACGTGCATTGGTGCTCCGTGACCAGGTGTGCCCATAAAAATCCATAGGGTTTGCTTCCTGTCTGATAGTTTTGGTAAGAAATTCGGTAAAGTTATATGTTCCTTTAGACGATTTATCGATTTACGTTCACAATTGCTCCTGAAATCATATCGAAATGTATAAGTGATTTGGGGCTTTTGTTATAATATAATATTGATATATATATATATTATACAATGTATCTGAACTATCTATAACTACTACAATTATGCTATTTTAGTGAAGTATAAGTTATGAATTAAACATTTCAGTAAAATTTTAGAAGGGAGAGATCATATTTATTTAAAAATCTTAAATTAGATTAGATAAATAAATTTACATAACCAGACTTTTTATAAATTATTTCAACGTTTTCGTTCTTTTATCATAAACAAGTACCTATTACTTGCATTTATATATTATGTACAATAAACTTAGATAAAGCATAAACTATAGTTTAAACAAATCACTTATAGGTACGTATTATTTCCATGAAAATTGAAAACATTTTATTTTCATTTTTTAATTTAATAGTGAAGTATTAATATGTTTATATTTTATCAATATAGTATTATACTTATTATAGTCAATACATCAATTTAACTTTTAAAAAATGTTGCTCAATAAACTTATTGCTGCTAATATTTCGAATTTTAATGTTTTTACTTGCTTGCTACCACAGGCAACTTTATTACATTTAAAAATATAAAAACTATTTTTTTTTCAATTATGAATTTAATTATATTCAAATAATACGATATGTAAGAGATAGATTTAAAAGTTAAAAGTTATATAGAATGTATAAGATTGGAGTCAGTGTGTGATAGACACTCGTTTCGCCACACTAACCTAATCATAATAGGAAACTACACGTTATGTAACTTATTAAAATCTAATATGTAGAAGAAATGTATGAAAATAATTTAGGTACCTATTACTGTTAATCGTTATTCAAACTTAAATTCCTCTTACTTGACCATATGTAATTTTATTATTATTATATAGTTTTATAAGTATAATAAAAATAGTTAAATTTAAAACACTATTTTAATAAAGAATTGGATAAGAATCATTCCAAATAGGTAGTACTTACATATTATATTGATACCCCTTTTCTCAAAAAAAGGTAAAAATGTGGGAAATATAATATTTCATAAGTAGTAAAATATAATTATAAATCACAGCTGCAATTTTTTTTTTTTAGTACTTCAAGTCTTAAACACATTTAATGCAATTTCTAATCTTTAAAAGGATAAAAGTAAAATAATTTGCATAATCCTGCAAGTTTTTTTATATAAATATAGTTCAGTTATCTAATACTTATATTAGTATAGTAATTAGTAGTATACCTACTACCCGATACCCAACGTACCATCCGATATACCACGGGGTATATCCGGGCGTCATCTTGGCCCGTTCGTCGTCCATGTTCAGAGCTTCTTCAAGCGTTTTGAATTCGGTTTTGTACGGGAAAAATTGGCACGGCGTTAGAAGTTTGGAATCGGACAAATTTTTGAAAAATCGAAACCCAAAATTAGTCGACCGCTCGACATTGGAGTCTTCGACAACCACTACTGGTCGTCCAGTATACGCGTAGCTATGAAAAAAAAAAATATAATTTTTATAGTCTCATTGTTAAAAACACGATATTTCGACATAATATTTTAAATTCACAAAACAATTATCGATTTTGGGTCAATATTTGCTCATTTCTCAATTATTAAGGTTTAAGATTCGTATTATATTGATATGTTAAGTATCACCGCCATAATTGATAATCATTCATAAAAAATTTATAATAATAAACCAGTTTTAAATTAGCGATTATTTATCACTTATACTAATATAAATATCATGAAACGACTTTAATGTTTAAAATATACATTTTTTGTTGGTATCTATTAATGAAATAACGTTGAATATTGTTGAAATAAACAATTCTGATTGGTGACGGTGTGTATGCATCTATTATTTAATATATTTTATAATTTATTTTATATTACTATTAATTATTAACTTTTCTATTAGTTATATGGCAGGCTGAATATTTTGGTAAAAACATGGTGTAAATTACGTTATTATTATGTATAAATTATTTTATTATAATATCATTGTTATTAATTTATAAGTATATGCTCTATAATGCATGTAAGAATAAGCTCGTGGTATAATTGTATAATGAATAGCTAAAAATATCTCAATACTACAAAAATCTCACTGTATATAAATAAATTAATTCAATTAAATAAATAATTTCAAAAAGTTTCAAAGTAACTAAAATTGTTTGAAAAATCGTTATTTATCGTTTACATTTCAAATTTTATCAATGAAATTTTTAATTTTTAAATTTAAAATCATTATACAATTGTTTGTATGTATTTTGAAATTTTGAAATTGATATAAGAAAAACTTATTTAAGTATTTATATAAGTTAATAAGTTGTAAAAAACCTTATATTATTAATAGTTGTATTACATTTTTAAACTTTTTTACCGAGAAAAATTATCTAATAACATTTAGATAGATTTTTTATTATATGTATAAATGTCAAATATAGCTTGTAAAAAGAATAAATATATAAAACGTATGTAAATATTTACAAACTTCAGTGTACCCTAACATAATGAAAATTATAATTTAAAAATAATTTAAATATTATACATTTCTATCTAAGAATAATATTTTTTAATTTCAAAAAAATAAAAAGTTATAAGAAAAATAATATTCTATAAATAGATCAAAAAAAAGGAAAAAATATTTTTTAAATAATATGATATTTAAAAAGCCTAATTGACACATCTATTAAACAATATTTTAATAGTTGACTGTAGATGAATTTAGTAATTAACTTGAATTTAAAATAAATTTAAAATACAATTTTTAAAACACAAAACATTAAATATTGAATAATTTAACTTACTGCTTTTCAAAATTTTCCGCTGATAGATTGAATACCTTCTCAATAGCGTCTAATTCTTGGCAGTAGGAACAATCAATTGGCGGTCGTAGTACATCTTCAAAGAAGTCCGGTAACGTCAATGCACACTAGATAGTTAAAATATAGGAACATAATAATATACCATTTTTTGATTATTACACTATTTTTAGTAGATATTCACATAACTTTTAATATACAGATTAATACTTAATGATATTTTTTAATTTAATAATATTAAATTAAATTTTATATTTTTCATTATGGGGATACCAAAAGCACAATTATTGTTGTCAACATTTTTTTTTTTTTTTTTATTTAAATGTTATTACTTCTTATATAATCAGTGTTTAAATAAATAACAAAAATAAACTAATGTAGTTATAAAAATAAAATGATAAATCACTGAGACTGAGAGAAAAATTGTCCCGTTTTATGAACTTAGATATGACTCAAAATTAGTATAAATTAGGTCATTTAACTATATGGTTTATTTTTAGTGAACACATATAATTAATATTAGGTAGGTATACATATGAAAGTAGGATTTCTAGAAATTTCTAATTGATTAATATCAGAATTTTCAAATATGTATATATTTTTTGGTAGGTATTACTTATTTTAAACGGACAATATAAAAAATATATTTCATTCAGTATTTCATATATTATGAAATATTTTACAAGAATTTTTAGACGTAAATTAATTTAATTTATTTTACAAATTAAGTTTATGATACAAGATTATCCAAATTGCAAATAAAATATTTATTAGTCAAAAATATTATCTGATTTTAAATTATCTACTGTACATAATTTTAGAAAATAATTTAATTGTGCTTTTATATTTAATGCTTTAATTTTTCAATAATTTACAAACCATAATGATTTACTATTATAATTATAATTGTTATTGTCAGTTTTTGAATTGAATGCTTAATTATTGCAGTAAATGTAAATTTATTACTAAATCAATATAACCAGCACTCAACTATTATATATATATATATATTTTTTTAAATATTATAAAAAACATTGTGTATAGTAAAATATTTTAAAGTCCAATTTGGTTTTTGTAATGCGATACATTCTGGTTCTTCCTATAATTTATGTAGAACTAGAGACTAGAGAGTCAGAATAAATTTTAATACTTTCATATTATATCAATATGATGACACAAAACCGAATAAAATATTTCATATGATAATATTTATAAATTATATTATGATAACTAGTATTAAGAACTTTGAGTTATTTTCAGGTTGACATAACATATAATAATCTGATGTCCTTTCATGCGGTTTATGGCACTTTCTTCTGCTACAGTGATTTTAATGAAACCTACAAAACATAATTCACTGCTATAATACCAATAATAATACCAAACATCGCTAAAGTGGTTTTTATCATGTGTACTGCCTGACTGAACAAATAATAAATAAGATTATAGACGATTAATGGCTATAACGACAAAATACTACACATATACAAATTATACTACTTTTTTTTTTTTATCATAAAACGTTATTCAATGAAGTATATGTAATATGTTTATTGTTTACATATAGTATAGATGGGTTGTACACTTATACATATACTGATTTGAAAAAGTTTTTTGAAAAATTATACACTTTTAAAGTCTATCCCAATCGAATGAAGTTAGTTATAAAACATATAGTAATATCCGTTACAAATGTTAATTTAAGTCATAATATTAATTGTATAATATAGTTAAGAATTAAATTTTGAGTACTTTAATATAATATATGAAACATAGATTGAAATTGAATGCGATTATTAGTATTTAGAGGGGGAGAAGAGTTTATTAATTTAAATCTTCATACACAATAAAAAAATCGTGTCACTTCATTTGAAGAAATAAAAATATAATAACGATTTGATTATAGATAATGTTACAAAATTCATACATTTATTTTTGTTTAATATATATCTATAATAAACTAATTATTTTGTAATTACTAATTTGTTTTAAATTTAAATATCTCAGATCTTCTTAAGTTTTTTGTATTGGAATTAAGAAACTTAAACGTAAAACCTTATTTAATTGTTATGAGCATTTAAAATTAAAATTATAATAAAATAAAATAATTAAGTCTAAAATAAAAATCTTATCAAATTATAACAATAAGTTAATTTATCAATAAGATAATTAAAAAATATTAGTCAAAGTGACATGAAACTTTTCACCACGTTTTATATTTTATCATTTTCTACTCATAGTAGAATTTTAATGATATATTTAAACTAACTTTAATATACTATAGGTACATTTGATTTTCAAATTTATTTTTTTCGGTGAATTGTAATAATTATGAATATGTGGTGCCTTATTTTTCATAAGTTCACATATGCAAATATGTTATTTGATAAGCGTTTGAAGTTTAAATTGACCGTTTATTACTTAAAATGCGTTTTCAGTATGATAAATCATATAAATTATTGAACTAAATACTTTGTATATTACACAAGTGATTTCTTAAGTCTTAATTTCTTATGCCTCGTTTTTGAAATAATGGCTGCAAATGCCATTCACGCAAGTAGTTCATGGAAAATGTGGATTATAAAAGAACTGAATGACTTACAGTTTATTTTTTATTCGTTTTTTTTTATAAGTAAAATTTGAATAATTTTTTTAAGCGAGCCAAATCCTACTACAAGTCTTTGATTAAAGTTTTAAATAAAATAAACATAAATTAATTTTCAAATCTCAATTCAAATATTCCAAAGTTATTTTTGATCTCCACCCTCTAACGTGTGCTTAATATATCTTTTTCATGTATTGTGGCTTAATATTTTAAACCGATAAAAAAATAGAAAACTATATTTTTCACAAACGATTTTACGATCATGGAAAAATTTGATATACCTAAAAATTAAAAATGCTTATTTTAAAACTAAATTAGCACCCATATAGCAATTATTATAAAAAGGATTAGCTATACAAACATACACATAACCGTACGTAAAATTTCTGTGATAGGTATTTGTAGGGTTAAACACTTTTTGACCAATTAAAAATATAATCTTGCCTATTATTTACGGAGAACGCGCTATGGTCATTACACTAAAAATTAGGTTAGAAACGTGTGAAATGACCATTTACTGTGGTGGTCATATACAATTTAATTTGTTTAATTAAAATTACGAGTGTGGGCCAGCTGTAGAAGTTCAATTATTATCGTATTAATGGTAATACCGAGCTGTGAACTTTTGAAGATACGCATATTGTTTTGACGAAAGAAGGAATAAAATAACAGTATAATAATAATAATAATACAAGAAAATTCATGGACGGGTGGTCAGACTTAACATGCGCATTATAATGTCTATTTTTTTTTAATAATATCTTAGGTATGTAGTATGTACTTAAAATGGTCGAATAAACTTGACTAGAATTAGGTGTAAAAAAGAAAATGTTGAGTATGAACAAAGAATAAACCATCGATATATGTGCAGTAATAGATATTTTATTATCTAGATAATATATTTAAAAATTGCGTTCGTTGATCAATCAAAAAGCCACGTGTTTAAATAAAACCAATATTTCATTACGTTAATATATTTAGACGTATTTTGGGTCATAGTAAAAGAAAACGTATATAGAATATTATAGACGGCTTACACAATTTGACGTGTGAAAACTATCCCGTAAGACCTAACATTTGTTACGAATACATACAATTTTTAATTATCTCAGTTACATAATTTAGTATTCAAAAATAGGGTAATTCGTTTTTAACACTTTTTATTTCAAACATTATTCACTTATTTTAAAATATTTTTTTTTATTATTATTTAATGTCTCGTTAAAAAAAAAAAATCATATTTACAGTTTATCTTCGTTATCGGTTTTTAAATTATTTACTTATTTGAATGAAAAAATATATTTTTAATTTCATTTTGCAAAGCACATAATATTTTTTTAAATACATTTTTTTATGGTAAAATTTTATAGATTGGAACAAATACCACGCGTAATCACTCTGTATATATTTCACTTGTGTGATAAATATGCCATGAAATAAACATTACAATAAAATCCTCCTTCTATGATATGATCACGCATTTTAGTAATTGTCATTTTATTTTATTAATTTATTAATTTATGTACTCCACAAAATGTATTTTTTTTTCTAATTATTCTATATTCTTTGAAATTCAATAAAAATCAAAGAAATCATATAGATTCTTGAAAAAATAATTATCTTAAACAAGTAAATAAACTATTATTAATAATAATTGTTGACTGCGCCCGAGCACCAGACAATATTTATTTTAAATCTAAACTAACATGGTAACATGATTAAAGGTATTATTATATCGATTTTAATTACTAGTACTTATAATCAATGGTATTATGTAATAATTATGAATTTTATAAGTAACTCTGATTTTGACTATCCATGTAATATTTAAATGTCAAGTGTTTATAAATGTCATGGAACCTACTCAGTAGTCTTAACGACAATAATTATAAAAGGACAATTTAAAATAACACACATAATATGATTTGATTTAGGTGTTTATTTTGTAATTTTATTTATATAGGTACCGATTAATGATTATTAATGTACGTTTATTACAAATCATCATTCATGATAGTCGTATACATTTTTTTTTCATCTTTAATACTTTTTTTTTAATTCTCATTAATGATACTTAATTTTCAATTTTGGAAATTATGACTTCAATGTAAGTGTTTCTTGGAGTTGAGATTTATTGCTCTGTTAGATACGGATCCGTTTTTTAATGTTACTCTATGTAACTAAGAATCTAGAGATTGATGCAGTTGTTGATTATTTCATGGTTTATTATTTTATAGGGCACATTTAAACTAAATTACATACTCAGTTTATAAAAATATATTTTTGCATTGCAAGTTAAGACTTAAGGTTAACGTGATTTCGTTTTATTATCAGATACCTACTTAGGAGATTCCTATAGTATTTACCTACGTAGACTAAATGACTTGAATTTCTTTTTTTTTAATATTTCTTTTCATAGTATGTTTAAATTATGTATGTGGTATGAGAAAGGTGGCTTAGTAAATAATTATCACTGTATACAATTTCGAGAAAACTGTCGTCCCT